TATGTATATTACATTATACTCGATAAAATTCAATTCAGAAATTCGATTTAAAATCCTGTGTTATCTTAAATGTAATCAGTGTTTCTAAAAAATGTCATTGGATCACAAGTGTGAAGAAACGGATAAAAGTTTGTTTGTTTTATGGAAATGCGAACTATAGTGTTCATTGCTGTTTCAAAATGCAAATTGAAAACTTTCAGCGAGTTGGAAATACCATTTTCAAGTGTAATAAAAGCTTTTACTACGTCTTGAGTACCTGTACATTATCTTCGCAACTGGTTAGAGAAATTTCTGGACTTGATTCCCCAATAAGAGTAGTAGGCTCTATTTCGTCAGCTTCTATTGCCAATGTCGTTATACTTTCGGCTCCACATGTTCCCGATGCTTGACAACGTACTTCGCATTTCTTATGACACACCATACCACAATCTCTGCACTGTACCGCGTCCTTTAGCCAAATCTATACAGCAAACATAAATTCTAATATTTGATGTAAAGTATATATCTAGAGAAGTAAACAATTGTGAAGATTCAAACCTTCTTTGTACAAAAATCGCAATGCGTTGCACGATGAAAATGAGTTCTAATAAAATCGTGCATCTTTTTCTCAGTAATCTCTTCGCTCAAAGGTGGTTGTGCCTTCACAGTTTCTGCACTCTCTTTCTTTCCTGAATCACCAACCGCGTGACAATTCGGGTAACTCGACTCCCACACGTAAGATAATAAAATGTCACCGTAACAAAGTGTTGGATCAAATCCTGAATAGCCTTGTAGTTTTGGATGAACTGTTGCTAAAGAAGCTTTAAAAAAATAAAATATAAAATTACCATAATGTAAAAATTATACTGACAATTATATCTGATAATAAAAATACATACTACTGTCTGGTGGTAATAAAGCATGGCATTTAAGGTAATGGCCAGTTGAAGATGTATAGCATTGTGCTAGAATTAGTTTCATGGGCACATTTATGTATCCTAATAATTTCGCAGGAATCTCTCCTCCTCGTACACGACCCCATACCCCTATATTTAAATACTGAAGTTCTGAATCAATTCGAAAAGTCCTAGTTTCCTCAAAAGAGATCAAAGATGCATATTCCTTTTCTTTCGTAGTATAGTATAAATCTGATATATTTGTTACATAGTTATCGTCGTTAAAGCAAAATTGGGAATTACTCGATATTATCGATTGATTCGATGTAGTTGAAATTTTTCTAGACGGTGTAGAATCTGGTGTTTGTGCAGCTTCGTCGATATGTGCACTGCTTTTTCTTCGTCTAAAAAGTTTACTACCCATTTCTAATTTTTCGGAAATTTCACTTTCCGAATCTTTTAAGTCTGAAAATTTAATTTGGCTTTCAAACTTCATTTTGCTACCATCTTCGCTGGGCGTATCCACTTTACTCGATGCAGAATCGGTTTTCATTGTTTTTCTATCTGCTCCTCTTTCTGCTGATATTCTTTCACTGTCCAATTTGATATTAGCTTGTTTCTCCAAGTCTGCTTTGGAATACTTCCTTTCAACCCTTATAATAAAACGTCTCTGCACAGCACTTTTTACAAATTTCGCTACTTGATTCATATTAGAGACCTTTTTACCATCTACTGCTACTAAAATATCTCCTTTTTTCATCTCCGCAATTGCAGCAGGACTTCCAACTATTATCGTTTCGACTAGCACGCATATATGACCTATTTCTGGCACAAATTCGTGTTTAAATACTACACCAAGTTGCTGAGAACTGACTTTACTAATAATTAAATCCAACACCATATAAGGATTTCCAGTATACTGAGTCAGATATACCCAAGGTGTTGAGTCTATGCTTATTGTACAGTATATTTCAACTTGTGACTTATCTTCTGCATTAAGCATATTAGGTCCAGGATTTAATCTACTCACTTCCACCAGTGATACTTCCAAGTAACCTGGTGTTAATTGCATGTTGGCAACCTAAATAAATTTTTTTTTATGAAATACGTTCTTTTCTTGTGCTATGATCCTAAAAAGACAAGAAATATCTTACTTCAGATAAATCTACGGCTTCATCGTTCAGTCTGCGGAAGAATGGTTTATAGCGCATTTTATAGCGAGGTAGTGTATGCTTCCGACGCACAGCTCTTCGAATTTGTCCGGTGATCAATGAAATTATCTGTGGTTGTAATTGACGACCTTGAAATTGGGATTGCACTTCCAATTCAAGTATAGGATCTGAATAAAAACTTAAGGACCAATGAGTATATGGAACACGTGTAAATTGCAATCTGGCTCTACCACTGATACGTTTTACTAAAAAAAGAAAAATAGTTAATTAAATTCAACAAATATGTATTGCATACATTCAGGACAATTTTCTAAATTACTATTGTACCTTGCAAAGCCATATAAGCAGTTTTTCCTAAGAGCATTTTAACATCTATTGATAATTGAAAATTCCCAGAATAATGTAAATCTAAAGATAAATCCAATGACTCCAGTAAACCTGTATCAGCATCTATTTTTGAATCTGCAACTTCCAAACCTTTTATTGTGGGAAACTGTGTACCTAGATTTAAGTCCCTTAACTGAAAACATATGCACATTATTATTTATATATCTTCATTGCAAATATCACAAAATACCTCCAACTTCATATTTTACCTGTACACTGTCTAACAATTTAGCAGTAGTAGACTGAGTTAATAATTCTTTAAACTCATTATTTAATTTTCTATACAACCAAAGCCTTACTCTCTCAGCATTTCGAAGTTCATTGAACAAAAATTGTAGAGTTAAATTTATTGCCAAGTTCTCATTTCCTTGGCTCATTCCTGGGCGTAATATACTTATATTGGAATTCTTTTTTTCATCCTGAATTTTTTCAAGTAATTCCTCGGGTAATTGAGCCTTGCCATGGTGAAATGACTTTTTTGGTGGGCTTGCTAAAGGTGCTACTTCCAAATACTTTTTGAATAGATAAAACTCCAGCACAAGTGTACATATTATACCGCATACAAATGTAATCACAGATACACAAATAAATTCAAAAAAGTCCATATTAATATTTCATTTATTGGAAACTCAATGGTTTCCTTGATTAATCCCAATATTTTCACTCCAACAATTCAAGAATATTACGAAAAATTGTAGAAACAATCACTCTCTTATGGGACAAGTATGAAACAACAATTATGTAAAAATATTAAATATATTCAAAACTTTTCTTAATTAATACTTTTAAAATAAATACATCGTCGATATTCCTGCGAAATATTAGGAACTTTTATAATGTATATGACTTTTAATCGATTATAAAAAAATATTGTTTTTGTAATGCTGTATTACATTGTTGTGAATCACCCTCTTTTCACGGGTCAACAATTATTCAGAACACTTTCACTGATCATGATAATGGTCGAAGTTATGATGTTCTCACCGAAATATAAATAAATTTTATAATGACTTAAAAATAGTTCATGTTCACAAAAAATTGTTCATGCGATACATCTTAGAAAATCTAATAACGCCGACGAGCATGGGCAAAACGTATCATGACAGTTTTCTATTGATCTCGGCAGCCATGTTAGTGCCAGACAAGCTTGTCAATTTGACAGATTCTCTTACTGTCAACCTACTATATGGTAAACAAAAATGTCTATACTCATATTTTCAGAATCTCTTAGACAATAATGAATGAAACTGTTGTAAACGTTATCGTTAGTAAAACATGTTTGCTTTTATTCGTTATATGTAATTGTTGGGATCTTAAAGATGTGTTTATCATAGGCATCATTATACCATAGACGAGATATAGAATAGACCTATCGTCTTATGGGACATTACGTCTAACGTTCTGAAATACCGATCGTGTAAAATATCAGAGGTTTTGTTAGGCCCTCTACGATAATAAAGCGGTGAATTTAGAAATAATATACAATCCAATCATCAAAGATGGTAAAGTCGACAGATGTAAAAAAAACTTCTTTTGTTAAATCTGCATAGAATAATTAGTGTACCTTGTTAAATAACAATTTAGGTGGTAATTTATAATTATTTTAAGTATTAAATAAAATTGTTGCATGATTTAACTTAATAAAACAGCTTAATATATTAATTTTACATTGATTTAACCATTATATTCAGTAGATGAGCCAGAAATTGTTTATAACTTATTGTTTTCGTATGAATTACAGATGGACCTACCAGGACACCGCAGAAATGTATTTTACAAAAGGCTAAAATATACCACTATTGTTTTACAGCATTTTACAGTCTATTCATTTCTCCCTTACCCACCACATCCATTTCCTTTTGCGAAACATTCATTATTTAAACAATATTTCATTACAAAATTGAATAAACCAAGATCGGATATCATTAGAAACGCGTAATAATCGAAAAAATCTTGAAAATTAACCTAATGTATATATTATACATTTAAAAACAAATATAGAATTCTTTACTTCATGTACGAGTAAATATATAATATTCGGTCCTACATCGTATTTGTAATTTCATAGATACACTTCGTTCTAATTCCAACCACTAGTAATGTTGTAATCTTATTCTGTGTCGAAGCGGTAACGTTGAAAGCAACACGAAAATGGTAAGAACACTCTCAGCCCTCCTAACGTGGGCAAAAAAATGTATTAGGTGTTAGGTCTATCCTGTACCTCATCTGCGATTCTAAATTACTGAAACTTCATAATTTTTATTATTCTTTTCTTCTTTCAACGTGTAGTAGAGAATTTCAGTGATTAATGTAGAAATTTTTGGTTAATTTATGTGATAAATTTTTGTATAATTCTTATTGGAAGATGATGATGTACCATCAGTAGTCGTGCTTACTACGAAGAATAACTCGTCGAGGTATTTAGCAATACAGAAATGAGTAAGACAAGGAAAGGAATACGGGTAGACAAGGGTAGCACTAGAGAAACGAGCTAAACAAGGAAAGAAACAGGGGTGGACGAAGATAGCACTACAGAAATGAGTTAGACAAGGAAAGAAAATTTGAAAAAGCGAAACTAACGCCATCTCGCGTTAGGTGACGCGAACTACGATTTCTTAATAGGATAACAGAATATAAACAGAGGTATTAGACAAGGATAGCACTAGTGTGCGACAAGGATAGAGAGAGAACGCTTCCTATTGGTCCGCACGCCGCCGAGTTCCATCTATCAGGCCCCAGATTAAGTCGATCGATGAAAAATCGTTAATAACTCATTAATTAGGATGATTTTGTGAACTTTTAGAATTGAAGAATGAAGCATGGACCTTCAGCAACTTTCACATATAGTTTTTAGTGCTCCAAACCCTTTCAGCAATTAGTTATTAACAATTTTAGTACGGGATCTCGGGAACGATACCGCACACCGTCAAGTACCTTTATGGTTCTTCAATAATTTCGCAGCTTTTTGCTAAATTCTCGTACAACTATCTGTATGCATCTGAAAGGCAACTCCTTTGGCTATATTCTCATATAATTTTTATTAACATATTCGGTTTAATTTAGGAGTTATTAAAGATTATACGGGAGCGTCCCGTATTCATCGTACTCGAGTATATCCGACAGTTGTGAACAATTGCTAATATCTAATAAACCACACCAGTTACGCCTACCAAACTAATTGCAGAATATAGATGAAAGTCCATTCTACATTCTGCATGCATTAAGGTGTATAATTAGTCGCTCATTTCTATTGAAATAACGAAAATATGTTACGATTGAATACGACGGGTGTAATACTCTCCCAAAGAATATTTAATTACTCTTAAACTAAACCGAATATGTTAATAAAAATTATATGAGAATATAGCCAAAGGAGTTGCCTTTCAGATGCATACAGATAGTTGTACGAGAATTTAGCAAAAAGCTGCGAAATTATTGAAGAACCATAAAGGTACTTGACGGTGTGCGGTATCGTTCCCGAGATCCCGTACTAAAATTGTTAATAACTAATTGCTGAAAGGGTTTGGAGCACTAAAAACTATATGTGAAAGTTGCTGAAGGTCCATGCTTCATTCTTCAATTCTAAAAGTTCACAAAATCATCCTAATTAATGAGTTATTAACGATTTTTCATCGATCGACTTAATCTGGGGCCTGATAGGTGGAGCTCGGCGGCCTGCGGACCAATAGAAAGCGTTCTCTCTCTATCCTTGTCGCACACTGGTGCTATCCTTGTCTAATGCCTCTGTTTATATTCAGTTATCCTATTAAGAAAACGTAGTTCGCGTCACCTAACGTGAGATGGCGTTAGTTTCGCTTTTTCAAATTTTCTATCCTTGTCTAACACTGTATCTTTCCTTGTCTAACACATTATCCGTGTATATATATGAGCTGCATCAGATGATCAGTTGATCGTCATAACCTTGTTATTTTGTTTTTAGTGCAGAACATTTTTAAAGTTTAAATTATATACAAAACTTATGATCTTAAGAAATATAAATATTTCTAACATCGAGCAAACCATATTATGTGCTTAATGTGGAAAAACAAATTAATTTCGATGTTTCACGCTTTGTAATAGTAAAAAATATAACTTGATCCTATATAGTTATTAAAGAACATACAAACTTTGTATTTTTCATACATAAGTTTAGGGTATTTTGTTACAATGGCAGCTTTAATGAAGAAAAGAGTATTAGCAGAATTTAATCAAAGTCAGGTAAATCAAATTTTTTTATTTAAAACAAATTTAATTTCCTTTAGTTTTTAATTATACCTATTTATAGGTTGTAAATGAACCACCATTAAAAAGGTTAAGGACTTTGCGCCTTGTATCTAGTTCAGGGAATAAAAATGGAACAGAAGGAAGTTCAGCATTAGCTTACATTGAGTGCCTTGAAAAATGTAAATGTGGCAATGACGCTTTACAGCTTCTTGTCCGTATATCTGATACAATAGCATACATCTCCCCAGAAGATGTTCCTTCTGTGGTAAAAAAATTGTCAGAGAGATTTGCTATAGAAACAGAGGCAGCAGTTCGTGCCAAAATACTTTGGATATTTGCAGAATTAGGAGAAGTAACAAATGATTCAGCAGAAAAGACACGAATTGTTAGTGAAACTGCTGAGCTTTTAAGAAATGAAGAATCACATAGAGTAAAAAGCCAGGGTTTAGCAACATTGTTAAAGCTAGGAGATTATCATAGGTATTCTATGCATAGTTAAAATTTTGTTTTAATGACACAGGAACAGGACTGACTTATTAAATTTTAGGACACTTGTATTGAAGATTGCTAGAGAGCATTTACCAGATACCTGGCATGGTGTACAAACACGTTGCCTCTCTATCATTGGCAGATATTTAACTGCAAATACTGCAGATGATACTTTGATATTAGTTGGTAATTATGCACGTTCCCAGGATCCAAGAGTACGTGCTCAAGCATTTGAGACAATGGCTGAACTTCATTCTCATAGAGGTTGCAGATTACCTGCAAGCTTTTTTGGAGAAGCTTGTGCTGCACTTAGGGATGATTATGAAATAGTTCGTAGAACTGTTCTTAAATTAATATGGCTATTAGGTAGAGAATATCCAGAAAAGTAAGCTATGTTTCATCACATCTACCTCAATCTCTCATAAGTATTTATTGTCGCCTATACGTATGCGTTCCTAATTTTCAGTATTATCGTGGGAGCCGATGGGGAAGATATACGCATGGTAGATTGTGCATTTTCCCAAATTTGTAGTCTTATGGGCGATTTATCGGCTAGAGTTAGAGCTTCGGCAATGTCTCTCCTAGGAACAATGAAAGGTGTATCACAAAGATACATAGAACAAGCATTGGATAAAAAACAAAAAGTTGTAGAAGCAGATAGGCCAGAAGTAGAAGAAAAGAGTGGTTCTTGTGGTGCATTTATTCATGGCTTGGAAGATGAATTTTTAGAGGTATACTGTTACTTATACATATATAGAACAATTTCTATTAAAAAAAAATAAAAAATATTCAGGTAAGAACAGCAGCAGTTGAAGCTCTTTGCACATTATCCTTGGAGCAACCAAACATAGCTAGAGTTTCGTTAGACTTTATGGTCGATATGTTTAACGATGAAATTCAAGATGTGCGATTGAGAGCTATTGAGTCGTTGAGGAAAATGTCCGCAAGCGTAACGCTTCGTGAAGATCAATTAGAGACAATTTTGGGAGCACTAGAAGATTTTTCAGGCGAAGTGCGAGAAGGTTTACACGCTACTTTGGCAGCTAGTCGACTTGCTACAAGGAATTGCCTTCATATGTGTGTAAATCGTCTTCTCGATAACTTAACTCGCTATCCACAAGACAAAGAAAGTATTAGAAACTGTTTAGCTGCACTGGGAGCCTCGCATCCTTATTTAACGTTGCCTTTGGTGCCGCAACTTCTTGGACGACATCCATTTTTTGATACACCTGAACCGGACGTCGATGAACCGTCTTGTATCCTTTTAAAAATTGTTTCGATACGTACTACAAATGATAAAATCGAGTTTTTGCTAGCCTTAACCATAAATGATAGATGCCAGCGTGCTAGTTCTGATATTCAATGCAGCGCTGCATTGTCCAAGCATGCATGCTCTTTTTACAGAACATGCATCCAAACATTATCATTACTTACGCGACACTATGCCGCATTTGGTTCCCCGATTGCGACCAACTGTACTAAGTGGACTAGACATTGGAAAGGAAGATAAAACAGACGAAGAAGCTGAACGTGGGAAAGAATTCTTAGAAAAGGTAGTAACGGGTGTTGAAAATGCAAGGCCCGGTGGCAGAGTGCACACGCAACTCTTGGAAGCTGCAGCCATTGATCTCGATCGTCTAGCAGAGATGGATTATCGCATGGAGGGAGCTGCGCGTTTCACTACACTGTATATAAGATGCTTGCTACTTTTAAAATCCGTGTTGAAAGAATTTTCAATGTCGTCCACGAATTCGGTATCGACGAATCCATTAACGAACACAACTACCAACGTTTCGGTTCTTCTTCAGAATACCCAGAAGTACGATTACGTTTTACATTAATCACATTAATCGTTATATAAAAATTCGTTCATCAATATATTATACAAATGTTGCAGATTACAACGATTATTTAGTGGATTAGGTGAAAACGAAATGATACTGGCCAATGACGTATGGCTGAAAGCACTGGCGGTAGAATTAATTCGAGTAACAAGAAGTGTCACAGGAAGAAGTGCACTTCCACTCGCGCGCCACTTTTTATCTGAAGCTGACACTCTACCTCAGGATACGGCAAAATTGCCATCTTTCTCCAGAGCTCTTGTTCTTCAAATTCCTACTTTAGTAGATGTAAAACCAGGATCTTTAACGCGAATGCTGTTACCATTACTTTTAACACCTGCGTCGCAAGGAGAAGAACGACTTCCAAGGCCATCGGTGTCTACTCGGTTCTGTAGAGCGATTATCGAAGAGCCTAGAGGCGATGCAGATGCTGCTTTGAAGTTTACAGGCGGTCTTCTACTTGGAATCCCACTCACAGCAAAAATACTGAATCTACGAGATTCTAGTATACTACGTATTAAACTAAGGCACCCTGATCAGCAAGTGCAATTGCTATTACCCCGTCAATCGGACTTACGACTGCAGAACACCGAGCAAAGTGACTACAGATTGAAAACTACGGTTCTACTGTCGCATCAGGTTTGGATGGAAGCCTGCAATGTAGAAATATCTCTAGCACTTCTCGTGCCGTCTTCATCTGTATGCACCCATTCTCCTCTTGACGATCCATGTGTCATAGATGTTTGTAAACCCACTAAAGTATCGATTGCACCGAAACCCATAAAGAGGGGCATCTAAATATATTTTTATGCACAGTTGTTTTATAAAATTTTTTATTGTAAATAAATTCAAAATATACTAAATCACTTCAACGTTTTTATAATACAGATGGTCAACAATATTCTAAAACTAGCGGTGTTTGACCGAACTAATTACAAGTATATGATCTAACCTGATTGAGAAGGGCACAAAAATTCTATTTTTCTGTCTCTTATAAAAATAACGGATCTTAAAAGATGATATTTCAAATTTAAACGTTTGTTAACTATCGCCAGGTAGAGAAGGAGCTTCCGCTGCAATAAAAACAAAAACATTAATTATTTCTAATTTTACACTCTGAAAAATAAAAAAGAAAATTCAGGTAATTTTTACTGACGTAGTGAATACTGGGGATTTTGGTGTGTCCACGCTCTTCTGCGCCAAACTACTGAAGCTAAGATCAGTCGATTGACTCGCCAAAGATTCAAATGTACTGCTACCACTTACACTTCCAAAAACATTCGGCATGTTGTTATCAATTTGAACAGGACTTTCCATTGTACGTGGACTTCCAAATGCTGTTTATTTTTACATATTTTAACAATTAGTTTTAGTATGTAACAAAATATGAAGCATGGTATAGCAATAAGATATTTACCTGGTGGAGTAGCACTGACGCCAAACGCCGTTGCTCCAAAACCACCGCCAAAGATTGGTTTTGGAGCTCCAAATGTCGGTGTCGATCCAAATACTGGTTTTGTATTAAATGAAGGCGCTTGCCTGAAGGCTGGTTGTGCACCTAGCACAGGCTGCTCTACACCCATTGGAGATGCATTAGGTGCAGCAACACCAAATGGAGATGTGGATTCAGGCGGAGGTAATCCTGAAGTAGCATTATTAGCTGCACCTCCAAAGGAAGATGTATTTTCTGTGTCAAACATTGATTTCTGAGTTGTTCCAAATGTATTTGTCAAAGCTGTGCTGCCTCCAAAAATAGAAGTTGTAGAGGACGATTGAGTGTTTCCACCAAAGATGGAATTAACATTATTTTCACTGAATATCTGGCCAAATATGGATGTGTTTGTCGAGTTTCCAAAAGGCGTAAAAGTAGGACTGGTAACTGGTTTTTCAAAGGCGTTGGCCGTTGAAGAAACTGCTGGTGAATTTAAAAATTGAGAGTTCGTTGTAAGGGCGAGAAAACTTTGCGTTTCAGCGACTGGAGCCGCTTGTGTAACCGCCACTGTGTTCGTCGGGGCATTTCCGAAAGTAGGTGTAGATGTAGTAGTGGGAACGGCATTAGTGGAGCTTACTGTTGGTACATTTATGACAGGTACACCGAAAGTAGGTTTTGCCAAAGGACTCTGGAATGGAGAGACTGTAGTAGAAGTTGCTATTATCGGGCTTGCTGCTGTACTTGTAACTGAAGCGGTACTGGAGCCGCTAAACAGTGGCACGGATGCAGTGGTTATAGTTTCAGCTACAGGTGCAGTTGTGGTCACGGTAAATGTAGACGTGGTTGGAATGGAATTTGACATTCCTCCAAATATATTAATATTCGATGTATTTGTTTGACTGCCGAATAAAGGAGCAGTGGTAGAAGGAGCAGTGGTAGATGCAGCAGGTAAAGCCTGTACAGAACCTGTTGAGGGGCCAAGAACGTTTACTTCGGTAGAAGGTACTTTTTCAATTGTAATTGAAGGTGTGGTTGCAACTGCAGATGTAGTAACTGTGTCTTTAGAAAGAGTTCCACTCACAAGACTTATAGAAATTTCATTGCCACCAAGTACATTTTGCCCCAATAATGTTTGAAAGCTGGATATATTAGTGGGTATATTAGGTGCTTGATTGGACGTTTGAAGTCCTGTAAATAATCCCGTTACGTTCAACAAGTCTTGTGATTGAGATGCTGCTGTTGTTGATGGTGTCACTTTTAAGTTGAATGGGGTAGTAGTGCTTGATGGTTTTGAAGCAAAAGAAAATGTTTGTGCACTCGATGTTTGGGATGCAACTAGTGTACTTTGTAGAGTACTGTTTATAGTTGCAGGAACAGTATTTGGTGAAGCAAAACTGAATGTAGACATTGCATCAGTTTTTGCCATTGTTGTTGCTGGTATTGCCATTCCAAACTTCAGCCCAGTATTTGGAGTAATAGTTTGTACTTTTTCTGATGATGTCTCTGATGATAATGCATCTTTTAGTAAACTAGTACCAAATAGACTATTTTCAACTTTGAAACCATCAGCATTTGATATAGTATCTTTTCCACTTTTCATGGTAGATTCGTTAAGTACAGATTTTTGCGTAGTCGTTTCTTCGGACTTTTGCGCCGGTGTACCAAATGTAATGCTATCCACTTTAGGAAAAGATTTCATTAAATTAAGCAAATTATGTGTAGGAGGATTAACTTGACCAAATGTAATAGTATCTTGCTTTGGTTTACTTTGAGATGCTGCAGTAATTGCTGGTGTAATTGATTCTTTCTCAGTTTGAACTGGCTTACTTCCAGATGTAGGTGGAAAAGTGATACCAAAACTAGTTTGTTTGTTTTGTTGTGATACATTATTAGTCTCGTTTGTACCAATCCTTGCTACGATACTATTCAATGAAGCCAAAGGACTTTGTTGTTTCGGTTTTTCGGTGGTTTGTTGTTTGGTAACTGGAGATTGTTTTAAGACTGGTCGTTCCACCTTAGACTTAGTATCATTACTCGTACTATTGAGAGAAGTTAAAGAAGATAAAGTTGCTTCCAAACGATGTTGAATAGGCGAAGGATTAACAGGTTTTATTATTCTTGGAGTACAAGCGGATAAATATTTCCTCAATTTAATTTGTTTCTCTGGAGTAAAACTCAAAGTTTTCGAAGCAATCGTTTTGCACCGTGCTTCTATGATTCCTGCATTTCTTGGAAGAGTAGCTGAAGATTTTGACGATGCAATACGTAAATTAGATAATGAAAGATTTAATCCGAAAATAGTACTGTTACGATTTATTAATTTCCATCGTTTACTAAGATCCTCCACTTTGCCTTTCTCTTCTTGAAGGATTTTACTATGTAATACGATATTTTGATAAATAAATTCTAAATGAGGAATTTTCATTCGTGACATTTCCTGATTCTTATGATCTGACCATTCTAGATCTAAAATTTTGCTAGCTTGATTCAATTGTGTTTGAGTATAATAATATAGTTTCTGAAGATCAGATATTTTATTACTATCTCCGCAATTTCTAGTGGTAATATCATTCGTTGCCGCATTTTTTGACTTAGTTTCTTCAACCCAAGCAAATGATTGTAACAGCAATGCTTTTAAGTATGTAATATCGCTGGATAAACTATTTGTTGTTTCTCTCAATTCTCGTAAAAACTGATCTATTATAACAGACGTATCAACAAGTTTTCGACGTTCTTCTTCTGTGCCACATTCCCATATTTGCGGTTCTAATCTGTTACGTAGTTCCTTCTCGAATAAATTATATTCTTCCAAATATGCACGAATGTCTCTAGCATCATCATCTGGAGATGGTTTTTGTTCCACTGGTTCTTGTTGAATTGTTTCTTTAATTGGCGTTAAATTAACGACCGGAACTGGTTTAACAGTTTCCTCTGGATGAAATTCTCTAGCTGGTTCCAGTTTCATTACCATATTAATACTTTCAAGTTTCTGCTCTTGTTGTTTTGGCTTCTTAACTGTAGGTTGTGCAAACAAATTGGTTACTTCGGGTGTAACTTTATCAAAAATATTTCCGGCAAAAAATGGTTTTGCACGTTCAGTAACATTTTCTGCTTGTTTAGGGACTGGTGTACTAGTCGCTAGACCATTCATAACAAAAGATATTTCGGGAGCAACATTTGGTTGCGTTTGCGGTGGAGTTACAATTTCTGTAGGTGGACAATTAATTGGAGGACAATTGGGAACCAGGTTCACCATGTGAAAACTACACAACTGTCCAGATGTAGCCAGAATATGAAGAATGGGAACTGGATGAGGTAAAGTAGAATCTGCTCCCCATAGTAATCTTCTAACTGGAGATTTGTCAATGGCTAAACCTACTGGATAGCTTTCTGTAGTGCAAATTAATGGCAATTCAGCCCTGCCACTATCTACTAATTGCCATTGATTCCAAGTAACTCCTGCATCTGTAGTTCCTAACACAGCAATTTCACTACTATTGCTGCTGGCAGCAATAATTAAACCCCATTCTGGTACATGGTCAAAGTAATAACAAGGAGTTGTTCCTTCTCCCTCTGTATCTGTCATTCCATAAGTAATATCTTCATAGCAAGTAAAAAGAGCAAGTGTTTCACCTTTAGGAGCATCAACTATAAGAACATTAATTTTCTTCATAAGCTGTTCACTACTTAAATAAGCAGCACAAAACTGGTAATTGCTGATCCATAAAATACTAACAACTTCTCCAATGTATGGGTTTGGGCCAGGGATTATTCTTGCTAATTTTAAATCAGGTTTAAATTGTACTAATTTTCCATTTTTACAGCCTACAACTATTTGCTTCCCTTTAGGGCTCCATGCTGCACAGAGAGCATCAAAGTGATTGAATTTTTGTAATGCCATCAATTCAATTGCTTTCTCTTTCTTCTCCTTTATTTTAAAACTACCAATAGTGTAATCATTAACAACTGTACACAACATTCCTGGTATAGCAGGATTCCATCGTAGATCATTCACAAATGCATCTGAACTTGATGAAGATATTTTAATTTTATATAGTAGTTGTAAATTCTAAAAAAAGAATAAAATTATAATATGCCTTAGAATAGTTTGTAAAAACAGAACGAAAATTGGGATAGATTTTAATAACATACATTTTTAATAATTGACTGTACATCATAAATTAAAATTACTGGCCCATGTGAAGCCACTGCCAAATAAGAACAATCACAGCTGAGCATTAATTTAGACACAGCTACTGATATATTAAATTCTACTTTCCATTCTGGATCAGCATCTTCTCCTGGTTTTAAAATAATTATTTTGTTGTTTTGACCTGCAAATAATAATCCCCTTTTTCTGTCTGCAGCCAAAAGGCTGCATGCAGTTGGTATGGATGTGAATGCATCTAAAATTTGGCAAGTCTTTGATTGTTTAAATTGAAATTCCTGAAAGAAATGTTGCATTATAATAAACGTCACAAAACCATATTTCGTTAATGTTATAGGCTAGAACGTAAATGTTTGTAATTGAATTTTAAACAAATAACATGTAATACCTGGACGTCTTTTGGATCAGGCGCAGTTTTCATGTTTAATTATTTTACAGTAGTCTTCATATAAATAAACAATTACGTTAGAAAACAAAATTGCCGGATTCCTGCCAGGTTAAATTCAAAGTAAACTAAAGCAACAGCAGTTGCACAACCTTTGATTATGTAGCTTGAGATTGAGTCATCTGTTGTACGTTTTTCGCATTGAAATATTTTCTGCATCTTGAGCGCCATCAGGAGCAAATTCATAAGCGCTCGAATTAAATAACGTAGCAAAATTTAATTTAAACATTACAGTAATAAAAATTATTTAATTATACAGTTACATATAATTAATTTATTTCGTAGAAAAAATTTGGTTTATTTGCTTAATGGAAAAATGCGTAGTTAAAATTTAATTTAACAAACTGAAAGCATTGATAAAAAGTACTATTACTTCTATGGAAATTGCCCTAAATAAATATGGCGCTTTACTAATTTTCCACGTGTTTTGGTTAGGATTATGACAAGCTAAAACATTCAGTTTTTTATATGTTATAGTTTCATCATTAATGTCATAATTATTAGGAACAACATGAAACCTACAAGTACTTAAATTTATATCTCATATATAAAAACATTAATTTTTTATAATAATATTTTTAGGAGATAAGCATCACAGACGAGTACCAATTAGTAAAGAAAAATTGCAAAGATACAGTAAGGGCGAAGGAATTGACATAGAACGGAAAAAGTTCAAGTTTAACAAAGCAATAAAAGAAAAATTACGAAAGAAGGAAGTTGCTTTTGAAGATACTGTAAAGAATGCTGCAAGGACTGAGTTGCTTTTAACAGAGGACTATGGTTCTTTGGAAGCTAATGCAGGAGAAGTAACAGTACAATATAATCAAAAACAAATTGCAGACAATGTGGACATAACTAGTGCAGCTAAACATTTCAATTTAGACCTAAGATTTGGACCATATTCTATAAGATACACAAAAAATGGTAGACATTTAGTATTTGGTGGAAGGAGGGGCCATGTAGCTGCCATAGATTGGGTGACCAAAAAATTACACTGTGAAATAAATGTAATGGAATCAGTACATGATGTATCATGGTTGCATGTGGAAACAATGTTTGCTACAGCTCAAAAAGAATGGGTTTATATATATGACAATCAAGGAGTTGAACTTCATTGTTTAAAAGGAATGCACAGAGTGAATAAGTTAGAATTTTTACCTTATCATTTTTTGCTAGCCAGTGCATCTAGAGTAGGTTACTTGGCATGGCTAGATGTTTCTGTAGGCAAAATGGTAGCCTCCTATCATGCCAAAGTAGGAAACATAGCAGTAAGTTTAACTATAAGTTTAACTATATTTAATGCTCTTTCATAAAAATAGTTAACTAGAGTAATCAATTTATTTATAGGTAATGACACAAAATCCAACTAATGCTGTACTCTGTGTGGGCAGTTCAACAGGAGTAGTTTCTATGTGGTCCCCAAACATTAAACAACCATTAGTAAAAATGTTATGCCATACTCATGGGGTATCTTCTTGTGCAGTTCATCCTTATGGAACTTATATGGCAACTAGTTCTGCTAATAAATCTGTAAAAATATGGGATATCAGACAGTTAGTAGGTCCAGTGCATAATTATTTAACGCGCGCTCCTGTTCAGCATTTATCTTACAGTCAATGTGGACAATTAGCAATGGCAATGGGAAACGTAGTAGAAGTATATCGGTAAACATTACATGATATCTTACGTTTCTATGGTAGTAAAAATAATTTATTTTATGCATGTTTTTAATTTATTTAATTAGATTGTCGGGCAAAGAAATGAAACCTTATTTGCGTCATCGAGCTGGATGGTCCGTATCAAGCATGCAGTTCTGCCCATATGAAGATGTATTGGGCATTGGTATAGTAAAAGGAGTTTCCTCTCTTTTAGTACCTGGAAGTGGTGAGGCTAATTTCGATGCTCTCGAAAGTAATCCATTCCAGACTAAGACACAGAGACGCGAAGCCGAAGTGAAGGCTCTATTAGATAAGATTCAACCAGAATTAATTTCTTTGGATCCAATTGCTATAACAGAAGTAGATGTGCCTACATTGAAAGATAAAATAAATGCTCAAATGAATATTTTGGTGTGTATTCAACCAAGCAAAATTATTTTAATTTCTTAATAATTTCATTGATTTGATGGATTATTTATTGTGATCTTCTTTGTAGCATCTTAAACCAAAGAGGATAGACTTTACACCTCGTAAAACAAAAGCTAAAGGAAAGGGAGGCACGGCTGCAGTAATTAAAACTAAACGGATTCTGAAGGACCTCAGTCGGAAGGTATGTGATTATATCTTTAGCATATTTGTAAATATTAATAATTAATCTTTGCAGGAAACTATTAATATAATTCGTCGAGCATCAGACATTCGACCACAAGTAGAAAAAGTAGAAGTACCTACAAAAGATTATGGAGTATTAAATAGATTTTTACCAAAATCTGGTAAAAGTAATACTAGGTAACACAATATCGTGTTGTGTATAGGATGCAATTATATTTTATAACTTTTGTTATTTAAATTCTTCCCGCGTATATCCGACTGTAAATTGTACTGTATACAATATGAATAAAATTTATTGAAAAAAATATGCAAGGCACTATTTTCTAATAGTTTCCCACCATAAAATGTTTGTAGATCGGTACACATGAAGTATGTGATTCATTTTTTCATGACTTTCCATTAAGAGTTCATATATCAGTACATAAAATCGAGATTAACGATGCAGGCTGTTTAAAATTGATTACACATATGGCAGTAATATCAGTAAGGTATTCAATAAAATAAATGAGCAACCGATATTTCAATTCGTAATATAATCTATAATTTAACAACTGTCATAATAAAAAAGGAATAATTTATGTGACTACAATTAATTTTGGAAAAGAGTGCGAGTAAATTCGATATAATCCAACGCTCCTGTGATTGGTCGTTCCGTTCTGGGATCGACGTAGGGTTTCATGCGGGCGATGCAGTAATCGGCCATCTCTTGAATAAGATTCTAAAAATATACAACGTGTTGTTAATAAACGAGCAAAAAAATCAATAAGTGTAAGTGAAAAAAAACTCTATACTTACAGCATATAATTCTCCTTTTGTAACGTATGGCCGATCTGCGGCAATAATTGCACGGAAAGCATTTTCTATATCCTCGGAGCTTTCTACATTCTCGGTTTCTTTGCTAATCATGAACGCCATGTATTCTTGCAACGATACATAACCATCTCTATTAGGATCAACGATATCAAGGATATTTTCGAATTCCGGATCAGGTTGGCCTTCTTCTACCATGGGTAAATCGTAACCAAGCGCCCTCAAACATGATTTGAATTCTTGGTGATTTAGACGACCACTCTTATCCTTGTCGAAGTGTTTGAACATCATCGAGAATTCTTTGAGGGCATCTTCGGAAACACCAGATTGGTTACGGGCCTGTATCTGTTGTTCCAAGTTGTGTTGCATACGCATTCCCAACTGATCCAATTGATCCCACTGTTGCGCCAATCCCACGGTACTGTGTTCCGTGTAACGATTGTCCAAGATTAGATGTTCCTCCAAAATTGCTCCTAGATCTTCTATCTTCTTCAAGTCTTGACGACGTGCACGAACCTCTTGTGTTTTTCTCTTTGTCGCTTCTAATTGTTGTTCCAACGAACCTGATCCTTCCATCATAGACGTCCTTGTTTCCGCTAGCCATTGATGGAAAGCGTTGGCATGTTTGGCAAACTCTTTTCTCAATTTATCGTTCTCTTCTTGTCTCTGTGCTTCCTTCGCAAGCTCCACGTCACGTTCCTTTATTATCTTTTGCAAATTACGCCAGGTATCCTCTAATGCCTCCATTGTGAACCACGTGTAAGGATTAGGACCAACGTTGAAACTCTTGATCTGCCTGTCTAGAGCAGCCAGAGCTTCGAAATCTGCTTCTGCCGAGGATAAGCTTGCTTGGAACTGTGCATGAGCCTCTCTGAGAGCTCGGATCTCTTCAATACTGTTACATCTTACTGGATCAGTTAAATCCTCCTCTGCATTCTCGAACCACGAGTTGAAAGCAGACGCCTTCTTGGCGAACGTCAGATATAATTCTTCAATCTGTCTGAATTGTTCTTGCATCCTCAACAAACGTTGCTTCCTCACGTCAGAGTCAGCCAGAAGCTTCTGCCAGCGAGCGATTACATCCGCGTGACGTTTCTGAATACTGGGCGTTTGATCGTGGCCAGAATCAACCAACATCTCTTTCAAAGAAGTGATGTTCTGAATTCCTTCGTGTTCAAACGCGTGCAATCCAGCGTCGAAGGTCTCTTGCTTGGTCAATAACGTCTGAACAGTGGACAAATCTCTACCAAACTCCTCTGAACGTACATGAGTTTCTTTGTCTGCGATCCAAGACTCTACAACGTCCGCTTTCCACATGAACTGCAAGTAAGCAGAATTATCGTTGAGTCGGGTTTTCCTTCTGGCTGCAAGAGCACCAAGTTGTTCCAATTTATTGCGCAGTTGGGCACATCTCTGGCCTATAGCGTCTGCACGATGATTTCCAGCTTCGATCAAAGCTTCTCCAGCCGTGCAGATGTCCTTGCAACGTTCACCGTGAACAGCAAAATCAGTCTCAAATGCATCATGTTTCTTCAGCAAGCCCTGAACAGCAGCCATAGTGTCGCCGTAATCTTCAACGGAGAGTAATTGTTGTTTCTCCGTGATCCATGCTTCTTCTTCCTCCACTTTGGCCAAGAATTGTTGATAGGTGAGGGATTCGTCTAATTTCTGACCTCTATTAGCAGCTAAATGTTTTAATTCAGCCCACACCTGATTCAGAAGCTTCAAACGTTGTTCGATCTCGGGTACACCCAGATTAGAAACGTCCATCAACTTTTCTCCCGCCTCTTGGACAGCCTGTATAGCAGGTTCGTGACTACCTAACTCAGCTTCCAATCTCTTGTGTTTCTTCTTCAAGTTTTGCACGCCTGTAAGATCACGGCCATAGTCGTCTGAACCAACCAATAGTTTCTTCTCCTTAATCCAAGATTCTTCATCAGCAATATCTCTGAAGAACTGATGCAAAGTGTTTGCCTCGTTGAGTCTGGCTTGTCTATGAGCAGCAAGATTACGAATCCTTTCGTAACGTTCGTTTATGCTTTGACGTTTTTCCTGAATACCAGCCGCGTCGAACTGTCCACTCTCGATCAGAGAATCTGCCTGAGCATTCATGTCTTTAATTCTCTCCTCGTGAGCTTGGATATCAGCTTCGACAAGTTGGTGCTTCTTCATCAAGTTCTGCACAGAGGCCAAGTCCTTGCCAGCGTCCTCAGAGGTCAGCAAACTCTCCACTTCACCAAGCCAGAAATCAAGATCTTTCACAGCTGCAATGTACGTGCGCTGCTTGTTAGCCTCCTTCAGCTTCATCGATTTCTCGGTGGTCTTCTGCGTAAGATACTCCCATTGATCAGCAATCGAAGCCAATCTCTTTTGAACAGCATCCTCAGAACCAGCACACTGGTGTTTCTCGATCAGGTTACCTCCCATAGCAAGCACAGACTGAATTCTGTCCGCATTCGCTGCCAATTCGGCCTCGAACGCCTGATGTTTCTGATGTTTCGACTGAATGTTGGCTGGATCCTTGTAGTTCTCCTCGGTAGCCAATTGTAATTTCTCAGCGATCCAATTTTCCATCTCATCGGCGTCTCTGGAGAATTGTTGCAGAGTCTGGGACTCGCCTAACTTGGAACGTTTCTCGATGAGGGCATCCTTAAGATGTTTCCAACGGTCTAGAACCTGGCGACGTCTCTCGTCGATTGGTTTGGCTGCATAGTGTTCAGCAGCGATCAGCTGATCAGCCAAGGTCTGCAGATTGGCTATCTTTTCCTCATGGCCATTAATGGCTTTGTCGAAGTCTTCGTGTTTCTTGATGAGAGCCTCCACGTTATCGCTGCTGTCAACAGTGTCCGCACTGTTCAAGAATGCTTCTCGTGCGCTCATCCAGTTGCCAGCCTGTTCACAGTCTCTGCAGAATAATTGCAGCTCCAAGTTCTGATCCAATTGCATACGTCGTTGGATCCAAGCTTTCTCCAGCTCCTGACGAGCCTCAGCCATGGACTCGAGTTTCTCTTGAATCTCGACGCTTGCGTAATGGCTTGATTGCAAAAGCTGTTGGCCAAAGAGTTCGAACGCCTGGAAGGTACCTGCTCTTGCGTCGATCTCCATCCGGTGTTCCTGTAACATAAAAGAAATTCAGTTTACATGGATTCGTGTAGACTGTTTCAAGAGCCTGGATATAAATTCACACCCATAATAGTTTGCACGTATTTCAATCCACTCGGCAATAGACACTACGATAAAGCGGAAAAAGGCAGCGATTGCAACTATGAATGAAGCGTTGAGAAAATACTCCAAGTGTTAATAAGGCGGTGTTCTTCGTTACTAAAACATCGACTTGCCAATCTTGTTCTATTTCACATAAAAAAAAAAAGAAAGAAAGAAAGAAAAACCAATGTATCAGCAACAACAGAAAAAGTATACCAAATGTTGTGATTAATCGTAAACGAAACGAAATATTCAGAGGCAAAAGTCGCACATTTTTGTTCCATGCTCTGTCAAACACTTCGGTACCTCTGGAAGTATGCCGTATCGTGCGTCTATCTCTGCTCTGTGATTCTATAATTCAAATTACTCGTGAACCACTGTGTGAACCAATGCAGTGCATTTCAACTAACAACGATTCTTTCGATCAATTAACCCACCTGATGTCGTTCAAGAAGAGCTTCTGCACCGGTTACATCAGAAGCCAGTTCCTCGGAAGCGACCAGACCCATCATTGAATTTATCCAGGCCATCAAGTCCCTGTAATCGCTGAGGAAACGTTGAAGATCATACGAATCCAGCAGCTTCTCCTTCCTGCTGTTAGCCTTTGCAGTTAATTGGGTCCATTCCTCGTTAATCTCCTTCTGTTTGGCATAGGTCTGCTCAGCTGTTTCAGGATGCGACTGCATCAAACGATTGGCTGTCTCATCTAGCTGCTTTATTTTATCTCCCAAAGCAGCCAAGTCTCTCTCCAGACCCTCGTGCTTGCGCTGCAATGCCTGTACGCTACGCAGATCCTTTCCAAGGTCATCGTTGTTCAATGCAGCATCCTTCTCACGGATCCAATCCTTAGTTTCGTCGACATCACGATGGAAACGTTGAACCTCGTGAGCAGAGCCCAGTTGATTCGCACGTTCTGCGGTCAGAGTTTGTAAGCTGGTCCATTTCTCGTTAAGATCCTGTATCTGTGTCTGGATCTTCAGAGCTGCTTCAGTCTGTCCAAGGCTCATCAACTGTACAGCTATTTCGTTCATCTCAGCCAGACGAACTTCGTTTGCCTTTAAGTCTGCCTGGAAATCATCAAACTTCTTTTGCATTACTTCTACCTGTTCCAGATCCTCACCAACATCCTGCACTTGAGCATGATTCTCCTTGTCCTTGATCCATGTGGCCAGTTCTGCAGCTTCTCTCACGAGTACATAAGCTTTGGCTGTTTCGTTAAGTTTATCCTGTCTCTCGTGAGCCAGTCTCAACAAATCATCATACTGAGCTTCAATTTGAGCTTGTCTGGCGGCGATAGAGTTTTGTTCCCTGGCTAAATTCTGCTGAGAGGCACTCAAGCCTGCTTCAGGCTCGACTCGTTTCACATACGCGGCTGGAACGAATCCCTGACGATCGTTTACCTCGACCTTCCACCAATCTTTATTGTTAGAATTCAACAGAGTTAGAGTATCTCCTTTCTTCATGGAAACTTCCCTTGGTGACTTCTCTGTGTAGTCATAGAGAGCAACTACACACTCTTTGCCAGTGATATCAATGGTGGGAGTTTCCTGCTGGCGGCAGGAAGCAGCCTGGTCCCTAAGTGCAGCTATGGTACTTGCAAAAGCCTCCAAGTCACTGACTAACGCCTCATGCTTCTTCAGAAGAGCCTCAGAACTGTCCTCGTCCTTTCCATAGTCAGCGTTCATCACTATGGGTCGTTTCTCTTTCATCCAAGATTCAGCTTCGTTGGCATCAGCGAAATATTGATGCGCCTGGAGTGAGTCATCTAGATCGTTCTTGCGCTGCCTAGCTTTCTCTTTCAACTGGCCCCAATGTTCGTCCAGTGCAGCCAGTCGTTGGCTAATTTCCTCTGCGGCGAAATGGCTCTCTTGCAGCATAGATGCGCCTACTTGACACACAGCAGCTACGCGTGGTTCATGATTGTTAATTTCTGCTAGAACAGCTTGGTGTTTCTTCTGAAGATTTTGTACACCTATAAGATCACGACCACGATTGGTGGAAGCAGCAACTGGCTCCTTCTCACGAATCCAGGCTTCCTCGTCTTCTATGTCTCTAAACAACTGCTGCACCTGCAGAGAATCGAGAAGACGTTGCTTACGGATACTCATCGGTCGTTGAAGAGCAGCATAGCGCGCCTGTAATTGTTCCTGCTTGGACTTGATGTTATCCGCGTCGAAGTGACCTGATTTTACAAATTGTTCTGCCGCCTGAGCGATGCTGTCGATTCTATCTGAGTGAGACGCAACGTCAGCTTCCAGAAGAGCGTGTTTCTTCTGGAGATTTTGCACGCTGGTTAAATCTTTACCGTAGTCCTCTGACATCAGTTGTCCTTCCACTTCTGACAGCCATAATTCTATGTCTTCAACGGTGCGGTTGAACTGTTGTTGTTGAGAGGCTTCCTGAAGCTTGGCTCCTTTCTTCTCAGTGGCATGAGTGAGACTCTCCCACAGGGACATAATTTCGTCTGTACGAGTGCGAATCCTGTCACTGGCATAGTGACCACTCTCTATTAATTCTTGACCAGTGGCCACCATTTCTTCCATGCGAGTTCTGTTGGCGTTTAATTCCTGCTCGAAGTTTTGATGCTTCTGCACCTTGCCATTTAAGTTGGTAGGGTCCAAGTAGCTGTCGTCTGTGGCAAATTTCAGTTTCTCGTTAACCCAGCCTTTCGTCTCGTCGCAATCGCGCTCAAATTGCTGCAGTTTATACGCATCCTCCAAGCGACGTCTTCTTTGAGCAGATTTGTCAAGAAGAACGGCTCGTCTCTCCAACAGAAGAAGACGTCTTTGAGCCACGTCGTCTGCTGCATAATGTTCTCCTTCTATCAGTTTACCAGCGAAGTCGTCCAATATTTTAATCTTCTCTTCCTGTGCTGCCAGAGATTTGTCAAAGTCTTCGTGCTTTTTAATTAGAGCCTCTACACTGTCAAGAGAATCTCCCAAGTCCTCGTTCGCCAAGAACGCTTCTTGTTTAGCCATCCACGCGTCTGCTTGTTCAGTGTCCCGGTAGAATAGCTGCAAGTCCACGCACTGTTCGTACAGAATCTTTCTCTTTTCCCAGAGGCTCAAGAGAGATTGCTTGTCTTCAGCGAGGGAGTTCAATTTTCTGGTTACTTCTTCTGCAGCATAATGCTCCTTCTCCAAAAGTTTATTGCCGGCCAATGTAGTCGCATCGAAACTGTCAGCTCTGGCATCGATCTCTCCTTTATGCTCTTGATGTCTCTCAACGAGAGCTTCCGCACCAGCTACATCTTTAGCCAGTTCGTCGGCTGATATAATCGCTCTCATGTCATTCATCCATGAAACTAAATCTCTGTAGTCAGCCAAGAATCTATGCAGATAGTAAGACTCGTCGAGCTTCAGACGTCGTTCTTTAGCCTTTGCTGTAAGACTCTCCCATAATTGTAAGATTTCTGCGCGTTTAGCTTGGATCTGTTTAGAATGATCTGCCTGATGAATGGCTGCGAGACGATCTGCCTCTGCTCCCAATGTATAAACTTTGTCCTCTAGTGCTGCCAAATCGCGTTCTATACCCTCGTGCTTTCTTTGTAAAGTCTGCACGCTAGCAAGATCTCGTCCAAAATCATCCGTAGATAAAACAACGTCCTTCTCCGCGATCCAAGCCATAGTCTCATCGGCATCTCGGTTGAATCTCTGAATTTCGTGTGCGCCGAAAAGTTTCTCTTGTCTCAAAACGGCGAGCTGTTTCAATCTTTGCCAGGATTCGTTGAGTTCCTCCTTTCTACGTAAAATAGTGTCGCGTTCAGGGTGTCCATCCAGAAGAAGTTTATCTGCCAGCTCATTTACTTCTGTCACTCTGTACTCCTGACTGGCCATATCCTTTTGGAATTCGTCAAATTTCCTTTGGAGCACTTCAACATGCTCTAAGTCGTGTCCAAATTCGTCGGTCGTTACAAATGCTTCCTTGTCATTAATCCAGAACATTACTTCGTCACAGTGTCTAATGAATTGTACCAATACCAAGGCTTGTTGTAATTTCAGACCCTTGTCTGCCAATCTAGAGAGCAGTAATTCCCACAATCGATGAAGGTCCTCTGTAATACAAATCTAAGTGTCAGTTTTAAGCTGCAAGTTGAGAGAAACATTAACAGTAGTGAGGTCTTACCTAATCTTTTACGAATGACATCACTTGCAAAGTGATGTTGTGCTATCATTTCTGATCCTGTATTATCCAATGACACTATAGCATTGGAATGAGCTGCAACCTCTGCTTCAAAAGCTTGGTGTTTCTGTATCTTTGCTTGAAGGTTGGTGGGATCCTTATAGCTTTCATCTGAAGCAGCTTGCAATTTTTCGTAAATCCATCCTTCGAGCTCGTCCGCATCTCGCTTAAAATACTGTAGGAGAACGAAGTTTGTTAGTCAAGTAAGAAGTAACAATGAAAAAAAAAATTGATCGAAAAATTACTTGAAAGCGACGGGAGTCCTCGAGTTTGTCTCTCTTACTCCGGGCTTCCGCTTTGAAATTCGCATATCGACTGAGGACTTGCTCTCTCCTCTCCTGAATGTCCTCAGGATTTTCCAAGATTTTCACTTCCTTTGGCGTAATCTGATCCATTTTGAGCAATGTTTATCGCTCAGAGTTTATAGACAACTCTCTACTGTCCAAAATGGCCACAGGGTGTGGTGTAGTCGACTGTTACGGTGCAATCAATAATTAAACCTCCGATAATACGCTCGTCTTTTGATGATTCTTGGTAATTACAAATTTATACAATCGTACACGCAGCGTAGTATGTAGAAATAATGTAGAAACAATACATACCTCGTACAATTTTCCCAAATCGAATTCGTACACTGAGTAGTGACGTTCCTCGAGTTACGATACTGACTGCGGGACCACCTACGTGTATAACAAGCGAGTGAAATACTTTCCCCTAGATCGACGTCACCGATTGGTCGAGTAATATTACAAATGGCCAATGGGACGCTCCCTTTGAACGTGTATCTTATCAATCATTCTTTATATATAAGCATTACGTCATTGCAGCGTAATCACCTTATTAAGCAAGTGCCGAAAGAGGACAAGAATTTGCAATTTGACAGTATGATTTTATTTCACCCTATTTACAAATAAAAACAGATTTATCTGATTCTAAAAAATGTATCCTCTTCCATTCATTAATCGTATCACTTTTACTTGAAGAATTACAATTTTATATAATTTTAAAACAGCAGTGCTGATCTTTTGTGTTTTTAATAATAAAGGATTCAAAAAACGTCAGGGTTATGATACAGTAATCTTTTATTAAATTTCACCTACAAACAACGAATCACAGAACGTTACATTAGAGTTCCTTACGTCAATCCATCGTGTCTTCGTATTATTTTACAGGTAAATAATTATAGATTTATCCCTATTACAGTAAAGTCTTATTTGTTAAAATATCTTGTAGCGTAGTCAATTGTTATGTATATGTAAATTTAATTTACCTAAAAATAGGATTTTTTGTTGTTGTTGCAGTGTCCATTCATTGTTTATAAGTGGATGTTATGTATAGAAGTGGTACTACTTATAGGTACTTGCTTTTTTGTCCATTGTACTCTGATGTATATTTCATTTATCTCTTTCTCTCTCTCTCTTTTTCGCTCACTCTCTCGCTCTCTCTCTCTCTCTCTCTCTTTCTTTTTCACTTATTCGTCT